CATTCCTTAGTAAGTTCAGAAGGGTTCAAGTCATACAAAGTATGTTTTCTGAATACAGCGGATTTAATTTAGAAATCAGTAACAGAGAGAACTCCAGGAAATCCTCAAATAGAGACAAAATAATACATCTCTAAAGAACCCAAGAAAAGTGACTGTTGGGAGTCACGCTGTTGGCGGCTGCGGGGGCCAATATTCAAGAGAAAAATCTGTGACCCCGACACAGTAAGTTGAATTTCACACGTCTCATATTAAAAAACATCTATAAAGAAAAACACCGGAGAGCCAGCATGGAAGCTGGTCACTTCTGATGGATTTGGCAAGAAAGAATCTCTCCTCTGTGTGTTGGGAGGAGCTGAGGCCAGGTGACTGCTTGCGTTGTTGTTCTGATGGAGACTCTGGCGCAGGTCACCCTCCCGTGAAATTTCGGAACGCCAGCTGAAGAAAGTGCGAACAGATTTTTCAATATCAACGCAAACTTTTGCAATGCCAACTGAAGAAAGTGCAGACAGAATTTTCAATATCAACTTGATGGGTCATATTTTAAAATTTTTTCCCTGCTATTTGAAGAAATAAACTGGACGATAGCGCAAATGCACCACTAGGGAGAGTGGAGTAACAGAAGTAGCTAAAGCTTCGATCAGTATCTCCTATTTATTTCTTTGGAGAATGATATGTTTGCATTACGAAATCAAAATAAAGAGTTTTCTTTTGTGCCACTAACAGGCCAGGTGTTTCAGTCACAGAAATAGAAACTATTAGGACATCATTGTTTGTAGTCTCCTCTGCATTTTTCATTGCACAGGGTGTTATTCTTTTATTTTTAAAAGATTTATTTATTTAGGCATACAGAACTCAGGTGCAGGCCAGAGGTGCAGGGGTGATGAGTAGCTTCGCCAGAGACAGAGTGGGGAGCAGAACAGGCAGATTGATGAGGTACACTGCTGAGGGGAGCAGCGGGCGGGCCGGGAGAGGTCCGCTGAGCCTTGTGGGGCCCGGGATCAAACTGGCATTGAGGCAGCTGCGACGAGCTTGCAGCTTTAACCCACTACACCACGAGGGAGGGGCCAGGGTGCTATTTTTTTTTTATGTGTTTTCTTTTTTTTTTTTTTTAAGATTTATTTATTCATACAGAACTGGGGTACAGGCCAGAGATGTGGAGGGTGATAGGATTCACCAGAGACAGAGTGGGGAGCAGAACAGTCAGATCCATGAAGTACACTGCTGAGGGGAGCAGCGGGCGGGCCAGGAGAGGTCTGCCGCGCCATGTGGTCACCTCCGGGGCAGGCGGGGATCGAACTCACGCGGAAGTGGCTTTTAGCTTCTTAGTGCTGTGCTTTAACCAGCTGCGCCACCAGGGAGGGCCCAGGGTGCTATTTTTAAGGAAATAAACGAAGAAGGGCCCCTCCTGGTGGTGCAACGGCTTAAAGTGCAGCACTATGAAATAGCCACAGTTGATTCAGCACAAGTTAGACCCCAGCCAGGGAGTGACCCACATGGTGCGCCAGACCTCTCCTGTCTCCCCGCTGCTCCCCTCAGCAGTGGACTTCGTCGATCCGCCTGTTCTGCTCCCCGCTATGTCTCTGGTGAGTCTTCTCACCCCCTACACCTCTGACCTGTACCTCAGTTTTTGTATGCCTAAATAAATAAATCTTAAAAAGAATGCAACACTACCAGTTGCAATAGAAGTCCACTGCCAACAGGAGCTAAAGTATGGCAATAACCCAAGTGCTCAAGGACAGATGAGTCGATTAAGAACACGCAGTCCTCCACACAACGGAGTACTACACGATAACAAAAAATAATAAATCTTGCCATTTGCAACCCCATGGACCTGGGACCACAGGAAGGAAATGATACCAAGCAAAATAAATCAGCAGGAGAAAGTGAAATACTGGATAGTGTTACTTATTCGTGGAATACAGAGAAAACAAATATTTCCTCCCACTCAGAAGGGAGTCTCTAGGTTTTGGCTACTGTCTTTTTTATTGTACAGAAGCTCTTTAGTTTGATAAAGTCCCAGCTGATTCTGTTTACCTTATCCTGGCTGCTAAGAGGAGTCCTCAAAGATGGTTCTGAAGCTTCTGTCATGGCGCGTTCTCCATGACACCCTGGAGTGTCACATGGTCTGTCTCATGACGCATTGCTCTCTCACCTGGGCAATTCAGGCGCCTAGCGCTGTCTTCAATCCGTGACTTTCATTACATCTGAATTGTCGTGCCGCCCAAGATAGTCACAGGTGCTGGGGCCCAAGATAGTCACAGTTGGGTTTGTGAGGCAGTATGCTGCTTGCCACCAAGCCCTAACGCCATGGAGAAAAATGGAGATCGGAAGACAAGGTTAAGATGTCGGTTGCACATGTTCGGTGCAATTCCTGTCAGAATCTCTTTGTGTCTGTCTGTACCTATCTACCTACCATCATATCAATCTTTTCTTATTATAAGTTTTTGCAATCTGGTGTCTATTTTGTACCTGCAGGGACTGAATAGGGACCTTAAAATTTCTTTGTATATAGATTTGAGAGATTTAGTGTTGGTAAACAGTAGATTCACATACCCACGTTGTTCTAAAATATTAGTTTTCCTAAAACTAAAGTTCTCAGTTTTCCAATTACTACTCAGCCTCATCTTTCTAATTAGAATTCCATGTACTCACCATATTTCAGTGCTTAATTACCACTTAAAGCAAGTGGCTGCCATTTTGGACAATGCTGTGTGCCTGGGTAAAACTCTCAACTTCTCTGTGCTTCACTCTCCCCTCTATAATTTGGTAGTGAGAGTAACACTCATGTCAGAGGGTTACAATTCAGTGAGTTCCTCTGTCTGAGGCACTTCCAGTGTCCCACCAGTGACCTGGAGCTGGCATTTACTCAGATCCCAGGGTCAGAGCACACAGCACAACAGGAGCCAGAACAGGAGGCCAGGAAAGTCCATGCTGGCGCCCCGCCATGGTGAGGAAACTGCAGGTTGTTATAAGGTCACGGTGCATCCCTAGTTCCAGCACAGGCTCAAAGAAGTACAACTCACTTCTGACCCCGATTCTGGGTCTGGCAAGGGAGACTCCTTAATAAAGCGCCTGCTCGTTTTCCCTATGCCCCTTTGGAAGAGGCAGACAGAGAGGTGCAAAGCTCAGCCCATACCCACAAAGGGGTATGGACACACATACTTGCCAGACAGACAAGCCTGGGGCAGGGGGGCCGGGTGGGTGCAGACCGCTGATGGAGGTGGGTGGAAGCCCAGCGGGTACGGATCTAACTGGACGCTGTCTTTGTCTCTACGAGGGCTCAGGGACACTGAGACAGACGGGGAGACATACTTACAGGTGGCTGAAGGTAGCAGGGTAATGTGTGGCACAGTGGAGACAGAGCCAGATGCAAGGAGGCTTCTGATGACCCCAAGTGGCCAGAGCCACAGACCCTAACCACCTGTTGGTCTAGGCTGGCTTCCCTGACCCACACCCACGCACCTCTGAGCCTCACGGGTTCTGTCCACCCTCCCCCGCCCCGCCCTTGGTTCCTATCACTCCCGTCTGTGGCTGCTCCAGAAGGAGGGTGAAGGAGAGGAACTGGGGGGACATAGCTGCTGGGAGACAGGGACAGGGAGAGGTACAAACACATAAGCACACAGACTCGCACACAGGGACACATGCAAACACACCTTTACCCGTGCAACCATTGAAATACATATAAGCCCATGTGCAAGAGTATATACGTCACAGGCACACACAGACGCTCACACACAAGCTCTCCACCACCCCAGCCCACTCAAAACTCACACAGAACTCTCCTACACTGCTGGTGGAAGTGCGAACTGGCCCAGCCACTATGGAGAGCTGTGTGGATGTTCCTTCAGCTATTAAAAATGGGGCTTCCATATGATTCAGCAATTCCACTCCTGGGAATCTATCCAAAGGGCACAAAAACATTACTTCAAAAGGACACCTACAGGGAGAAAATAATAATAAACAGCTATATACCAAAGACATTTTATGGGGGTGGGGTGGGGAATGGGGTCAAAAACAATGGTGGGGGGAGGGAGGTGCACTGGACTATGGTGACGGCACACGGGTGATTTGGTGATGGGAAGCCCACGGGGATTGCAACTGAGATGGAAGAAGGGCACAGAATAATGTAAAAATAAACTGTTATATTATTAAAAAAAAAAAAAAGGATGCCTACACCTCTATGTTTATTGCAACACAATTTACAATAGATAAGTTATGGAAGCAATCCAAATGCCCAAAAATAAATGACTGGATCAAGAAGACATGGTACATTTACACAATGCAATATTACTCAGCAATAAAAAAGGATAAACTCATTCCCTTTGCAACAACATGGATGGAGCTGGAAGGGATATTGCTGGGCGAAATGAGCCAGAAAGAAAAAGAAAAATATAGAGTGGTCTCACTTATAGGAGGAAGGTAGAAGAAGCAATTAAGAAATCAGACAAAAAGTAACTACAGTAGAGTAAAAAATCAAAATCGCCAGGTGAGGACAGATCAGAGACATCCTTAGGGGAGGAGGAGGGAGAGGGACCAGGACAGAGTGGGAAGAGCAGAATGGACGATGGTGATGGTGCCCGGGTGAAGTGGCGGTGGGAATTCCACCGGGAAATCATCCATTGCTCCAAAATGAAGGATGAGGTGATGAACACATTAAGCTAACAAAGATCACACAGATGAACACGCAGGCAGAAGCTACATGAACAAGCAGGCATGCAGAAACATAAACAAACGTGCTCTGCACACGCACCTGAGACTTAACAAACATGTACGCACTCGCTCTCCTGGACTTTGGTTTCCCTGCCACAGTATCTGCCCTCGCGGAAGGAGGGCGCGCCAGGCCAGGAGTGAGTGGCCACTGGGCTGCCGCAGGGGCCCTGCTCTGGGCAGTGATGGGAGTGGGCGGAGAATGGGTGAAGTTACGCAACTGGGTGGGGCTGCATGTTCAAGATAAAAGGCCCCACCCCTGGCCGAAGCCTTGCGAGGCAGGCAGAGCAGCACCATGGGGCTCAGCGTCCTCCTCCTCCTGGCTGTCCTCACGGGACTCCTGATTCTCATGACCAGAGGCCAGCCGAAGCACAGGCGCCTCCCGCCGGGCCCCCGGCCTCTGCCCTTGTTGGGGAACCTCTTGCAGATGGATAGAAAAGGCCTCCTCAAATCCTTCCTGAAGGTGAGGCAATGGACGGACGGGGCTTCGTGAGGCTACTTGCCTCGCAGCTTGGGGGTCACTCGGCAGAAGAGAGGTACCCTCCTGGCTCAGGGTGCCAGGGAATGGGGGATGAAGATTGGAGGGTGGAGGCTGGAGGACCAGGGGTGTCCCGCTTGGCCGGAGGAGAGCAGGTGCTATTTGTCCTGCTAGAGAGTTTCACTCCTTTGCCACCTCTGGCGTGCCCCTGGGTGCCTGCCCGCCACTGGAGAGGAGAAGGGGCGGTGGCACCAATCAAATTGGTCTGTTTCCTGCTAACAAAGACAGCAAATCTGGCTCGTGTCAGTGCCAGGACCAGGTGGGGGAGGGCAGCTGGATGGGAAGCCAGGCAGAGACATAAATTCAAGAGGACAGTGGCTGGTTCTCGTGGGACATCGGCTGGGCTCTGTACCATGACTTTCCAGGCAGAATTTCACGCGTGACGCTCTAGTTATTCAAGAATAACTGAAATCCACACTGTGAGTCCAGCACCGCGGTGGAGCAGAAACTGACAGCAACTCCCAGCACCGGTTCCCTCAGACCCATTCCGCTCGTCCCGGGGAGCAGGCTCCTGTATCTTGTCATCTCTTTGCTTGAGTCGAGGTTTCTCCGTAGACGGAGGTGACAGGGGCACATTGTTGAGCTCCTCTTATAACTCTGGACTTGGAGTTTTTACTCTTATTGTGCAAATAAGAGTTCTCTACATGATCAGAATTCCTCAGGTGTCTTTTACAACCACTGGCCACAACCTGAAGCGCTGTCCAGTCTGAGAGGTAGGACAGTAGCCCAGTATCTGTGCAGAATGAAGCCAGGGCCCACCAGAGATGCTGTCATCTTCGGTGCCCCCATGGGGAGCTACTTATCAAATGGGGCTTCCCTTGCAGAATTTGAGTAAAACTGTGGTCTCCACCCCCTCCAAACATCCAAGCGTATTTTCTTATGAATAAATATTGAGAGGTCCATGGACACTCAAAGACCCTCTGGGAGTCCAAGAGCCTCCAGTATCATTGAGTCGCTATGTAGCCCCCCAAATGGGGGAGGAGAAGAGCGCAGGGGAGAGACTTGGGTGTGTGATATGATGGAATGGGTTGGGAAGAGTGGTATTTCTCCTGTGAACTCGCAAACATTTTGGATGCAGGCAGACACAAGCTCATGTTCTCGATGCCACTCTTACGCAGTGAGTCTCGGTTTCCTTCACTGTAACGTGAGCTGGTGCCAAGACTGTGCCAGCTACGACCATGAGGATTAATCGGGACTGGGCAGAGAGTCTGGTGTCTCACAGTGCTCACCCCATGCAGTTATTCTGAGCCACTCTTTCATTTATTCAGTCATTCAGTAATAAAACAGATTCTGCTTGGGGGTAATTTCTAGGTGTTGGGCAAGGTCAACAAATTAAAAAGAAGGGAATGTTAAGTATATAAGAGCTGTGATTAAAATAAAGCAAGATGCTACTTCAGAGCGTGGTGGGAGTTCCTTAAGATTGAATGGGTAAAGAAAAGCTCAGTGTTGGGTGTGGCGCAGGGAGTTAAAGCACAGCACTGCAAAGCTAGCCTCAGCTGCTTCAGCCAGGGAGGTGACCCACAGGGCGCGCGTGACAGACCTCTCCTGACCTGCCTGCTGCTCCCCTCAGCAGTGTACTTCGTCAATCTGTCTGTTCTGCTCCCCACTCTGCTCTAGTGAATCCTCTCACTGCCCCTGAATCTCTTGTCTGTACCCTAGTTCTGTGTACATAAATAAATAAATCTTTCAAAACAAAAAAGAAAAGCTCGGTCTTGCTTTGATCGTGAGCAGAGAGATGCAGGTGGAAGGCACTGGACAGAGGCCGGGATGGTGCAAGGAATTGCAAGCGGGAGAAATTCGTTATGTTTGAGGGAGAAAATGGAGGCTGGGTCTGAGTGAGTGGGAGAAGCAGCAGAGGGGGGAGTGGACCACAGTGGAGACAAGTCTTATTTTCAGTGTGGAGGGAGCTTGGGAGGGTGGAGAAAGTTAGGGATATTAATGAGTTTCCATCCATGGGCTTACTCTGGCTTCAGAATGGAGTAGTCTAGGTGTTGAAATGATTATAGGGGACAGAGGAATGGAAGTAGGAGGACTAGTGAGATTTTCAAGGAGCAAAAAAAAAAAAAAAAAAAGATTTTTAAGTAAACTTAACCTTTTCCTAATAATAAGTCAACTATTGTGATTAATATCACTCTAAAAAGCACATACCAAGAGTGCCCAGCTCAGTGAATTTCTCCAGTGAGATTATTCATGTAATTGATATACAGAGAAGTAGCAACAGGGTCCATGCCAAAATACGCCTCATGCCAGAGCCTCCCTGGTGGCACAAGGGGTTAAGTCTCAGCACCATGAAGCTATCTGAGGTCACTGCAGCACGAGTTCCATCCCCAGCCAAGTTACTGACTCCCAGGGCACAGCAGACCTCTCCTGTCTCCCCGCTGCTCCCCTCAGCAGTGGATTTCAGTGGATCTGCCTGTTCTGCTCCCCACTCTGTCTCTCGTGAATCCTCTCACCCACCACACCTCTGGTCTGTACCCCGCTCTTGTATGCATAAATCAATAAATCTTAAAAAAATACTCCTCATGCTCCCTTTAAGTCACTATCTTCTACCTCCCCACTATCCCGAAACACAGTCCCATGTTATCTGCTTTTAAACTTATAAAAAGGATTACGGTGGATGGACAGTATTGTGTCATTGCTTTCACTCAGCAATTACAATTGTGAATTTCAGTCACGTCACTGGGTTTTTCTTTTTCATTGCTGCATAATAGCTCACAACAAACATACTACTTAGTCTACATAATATTGCTGAACATCTTATTACAAAGCATTACATAATGCTCCTTGTTTATTTTTCTGTTGGCTGTATGCACAAATTTTAATTAGGCAAGTATCTGGGTCTTGAAACTGCTGAGTCACTGAATATACTTGTTTGGCTTAAGTAAGTATACTCAGGGATCAATTAACAATGGGATACGATCTGAGATTGTGTTGTTAGGAGATTCCACTGTTGTGACAGCTCTCTAGAGTGTAATTACAGATGTCAACTGTAGAGGTTACTATGCACATAAGCACAATGGTACCATGGATCGGGGCCACGTCATAAATGCTGCCTGATATTCTATGCGATGAAAGACTACTGCTAAGCAATTTCCCAAATGGTGGGGTTGATGTTATTATCTTTCAGCCTTCATGACCACTCGGAAGATCATCACTCTCCCTTCATGCCTACCAAGTAGGTTGTACAGGGAAGTTCTCCAGGGAATATGCCAAGAGTTAGATAACAGCTTGAGCTTGGGCCAGAAGAAAGATGAGCTTTTAGTTCCAGTGGTAGAGAGACGGGATCAGACCCCCTGGATTCCAGGGAGTGGGCAGCATTAGTTGTAGAAATTAGTTGTAGAAATATTAGTTGTAGAAATATTTAACCACAGGTGGTGCTGAGGGCGCTGATGACGCAGCCTGATCTTGGTTCGTCTCTTAGTCTGGATCCTCTGACGGGGAAAGGAAGCCCAGGTGGAGCGTCTCAGGGTGGTGACTGATTTCCAGCATGTGGAAGTGTTCTAATGAACCAACAGCTGGGATGGCCACAGAGAGGCACACTAACTCACGCCAACCCTGGGTGTCGTGTGCTTGGCAGCTCCGAGACAAATACGGCGACGTCTTCATGGTGTATCTGGGGCCCAGGCCGGTGGTCATGCTGTGTGGGACAGAAGCCATCCGGGAGGCCCTGGTGGACAATGCTGATTGCTTCTCTGGCCGAGGGAAAATCGCCATGATTGAACCAATCTTCCAGGATTATGGTAAACAGTGCAAAGGGACCAGAAAGGGATCGGAGGGAAGAAGGGGGTGAGGAAGGGTGAGTCTGAAAAGGGAGGCGCAGAGACGGAGGGGACACAGAACTAACTGCCTGCTTCTGCAACCCACACCTCCTTGCCACCCCTCCCCCAGGCGTGGTCTTTTCTAACGGGGAGCGTTGGAAGGTCCTCCGTCGATTCTCTCTGGCCACCATGAAGGACTTCGGGATGGGAAAGCGGAACGTGGAGGAGCGGATCCAGGAGGAGGCTCAGTGCCTGGTCAAGGAGCTGCACAAGACCAAGGGTGAGGCCGGGGGCCAGGCCGGAGAGAAAAACAGTGAAACCGTTGACAAGCAGAGCAATAGCGACGGAAATCAGAGGGGTGTGCTGGGCAGAGAAGGGGAGGTAGGCAGGGCGAGGCTGCCCTAGAGACATCGGACAGAGGATGGGGACACAGAGCAGAGCCTAGGGGCAGGCCGAGACGGGGAGGAGGCAGCCAGGAGAGTTACCGGGTTACCTTGGCAAGAATAAGCCCAAGGCTGAACTTACACATGAGCAACTATAGGGTTTGTGCAATCCAAGTCATGGGATGGACTGACTCTGTTAAAGGCAGAAGTGAGACGTACATAAAAGAAAGCAAAGAGAGCGAAAGGAAGGCCACTGAAAATGACCAGCTGGGTCTTCCTTTCCATGGGTGACCTGCTGATGAGCTGCTGGTGCTCACAGAGGCAGGTGGGATATTTTGCTTTTGGGCAGACTGTCAAAGAAGCACCTCTGGCGACGTGCATTCTCCCAAGTGGGTGCTTACAAGACACCAAGATGGGGCCCTTTCTGCAGAAATTGCCAGATATCAATGTAGAGTCTGGGAGGGAAAAACAGAGGAGGCTGTTGTGCAGCCACCCCGGCCTGGACAGGTTCCTTGTCGATCTGGACAAAGAGAATTTTGGAGCCTTCAATATTCTACGGCTGAATCACCAGAGAACAACACAGGCAGCCCAGGAAGGGAGGCAGCCACCAGGGCCCCAGCCTCGGAGTGAGCCCTCCCGCTCTCTCTCTCCCTAGCGCTCTCTGTCTACCTCTTTCCTCTTGCAGTGATCTCCCCCGGGCACCCCTACTGATAGATATGTGCCCCCTACTTGCTGGCTTCTTGGTGTGGTGTCTGCAGTGACAGGCGCGGGCCCTGTGCTCACGCCTCTTGGCCCGGGGTGTCTGTGGGCACCACCCTCGTGCTCCTAAGTGCCCCTTGCAGCAACACCACATCACGCGTGGGCAGTACAACCTGGGAGGAAGCAGGGTGGAGGTGGCAGCGAGGAAGGGGCTGAACCGCTCCACTTTCCCTGCAATGACGCTCAGGGCGCCAGGTGGCCTCAGCTCAGAGGCCATGAAGGGCAGGAGGACAGAACGGAGAAGGGGACAGGGGCTCCTTCACAGACAAGAAGAGAGGCAGAGTGGGGGGGGGGGCAAGAGAGAATGGAAGACTTGAGAGGAAGAGACTCGGGCATAGAGAAACTGAGGAGAAAGTTACAGACAGATGGGGCAAGGACGCCCATCCGAAACAGAGGGACAGGACGCTGAGCCCCTCCGCCACCTGACAGCCCGCACCTCTGGGCTCACAGCCCCTTCCCTTCAGGGCCGGGTGTGCACCTGGGGTCTACAGACTGGCAGGTACAGGCTTCCAGACAACCCTCAAGGAGACACAGGCGCGTGCCAGAGTGAGGGACAGCGAGAGAGTGAAATCTACAGCGGAGTCGAGTGGGCCCTGGCGTGCCTGCCCTGCTCCCAGAGCCCAGCGGGGGTGGGGTGGGGCGCCCAAGGCTCACCTCTGTAGAGAGGTCACCTGGTCTGACCCTGCCTCAGAGGTGAGAGCTGATCAACCCTGCTCAAGTCACTTAACCTCCACCCGGCTCTAAGTCACTTAAGTCACTGAGACCCGGCCAGCACGACGGGGCTGCACCTTCTGCACTGGCTTGGGGTGGGCGCAGATGGGACGGCATGACTTGGACCTGGCATGCGAGTGTCAGCTGTCCGTCACTGTTCTTGCCCCCGTGGTGAGGCTACGCAGTGCAAGTGCTCACAGGCTGGATGGCGTCCACAGCTCCCAGGTCTTTGTCCCCTGACCTGGCCTCTACCTCCTAGGAGCCCTCCTGGACCCCATCTTCTACTTCCACTCCATCACTGCCAACATCATCTGCTCCATCGTCTTTGGAAAGCGCTTTGACTACGAAGACCCCGAGTTCCTGAGGCTGCTGGACTTGTTCTACAGATCCTTTGCGCTCATCAGCTCCTTGCCGGGCCAGGTTGGGGAGCGGCTGAGCGAGGGTGGATGGGGTGTACATTCCGGGTGGCTCTGTCCCCGGAAATACAGTGTGGGGGTGACAGATGGGCAGAGACACAGAGGACACACAGGTCTCTAAAGGGACCTGGAGGAGGGGAGAGATGGTGTGTGTCGGGGAGACGAAGAAGGGGGGATGAGTGAAAGGCTCAGAGACTGAGGGGAGGGCTTAGCAGAGAAGAAGGAAAGGAAGAGAGGAGAGGGAAAGAACCAGACCGAGCAAAACCAGCAGAGGACAGAGATGAAGGAATTCTGAGATACAACCGAGGTGTAAGCGCGCGGGCGCCCCCTCATGGAATCACCATGGAGTGCAGCGTTACGCCCCGGAGGCCGCTCCTCAGGTGAGCTCCGCTACTTCAGCCCCTGGGGGACTCATAGCCCCGCTCTCTACCACAGCTGTTCGAGCTCTTCTCCGACTTCTTGAAGTACTTCCCTGGCACACACAGGACCGTGTACAACCATCTGCAGGAGATCAACGCCTTCATTTGCCGGAGTGTGGAGAAGCACCGGGAAACCCTGGACCCCAGTGACCCCAGGGACTTCATAGACACCTATCTGCTCCGCATGGAAAAGGTGGGGCTGAGGAGAAGCGGATGGGAAGAGGGGGCAGGAAAGATGGGCAGAGAGAAGGGAGGGGAGAGGGTGCCAGAGGGAAGAAGAGACTGTGCAGGAGAGAGTAGGAAAAAGGAGGGGGGATGATAAGGAACCGAGGGGAGAGTCAGCCTGCACTGGAGACTCCACAGGGGCCGCAAAGGTAAGTACAGAGGCTGAAGCCACGTCAGACAGTGGAGGGAGACTGGCAGACAGGCAGAGGACAGTGGGTGCACACCCAGGACAGAGAAAAGCCAAGGATGTGACACGGTGTGAGGGACTCAGGACAGCCGAGGAGCCCAGGGAGACGGGTGTGGCAGGCCCCAGGCTCTCCTCACACAAGCCCGCCTCTGCTCCCAGGAGAAGTCCAACCCCAAGAGCGAGTTCCACCAGAAGAACCTCATCATCACCTTGCTGTCGCTCTTCTTTGCCGGCACAGAGACCACCAGCACTACCCTGCGCTACGGATTCCTGCTAATGCTCAAATATCCCCATGTCAGAGGTAGGGCCTAGGGACGCTATGTGAGAGGGGCCAGGGGTGTCCCACGAAGCAGAGAATCTGCGGCCAGCACTACAGGAAAGAGCCCCCAACTCCGTGGATTGTGTTGGTAGAGGGATGAATGAGAGGCCCTGGCTTGGTCCCGCGTTTCTCCCAGCACTTTAAGCCCAGCGCATCCATCCTTTCCGCCCACCCACCAACCCTGTCCCCCTCCATCTGGTCACCTCCCCACCTAGCCACTTACCTGTCTGTCCTTTCGTTTATTAGTTAATCGGTATATGCCCTGATTCTTTTCTCTGTGAGTCACCCAGTCACCTCCTTGCAACGGTTAATTTGGATTAAGGAATTGATCGGTTGATCCACTGTCACTATTGATCAGTGACTCACTGAACAAACTTTTATCATAGATTTAATTATGAATTAATTAATTAATTGAGGAGTCCATCTGCCCTTTGAGGTATGAGCTTAATCCTTCCCTCTGTTTCTCACTTATACCTTCATCCATCTATTTTTTCATTAATACTCCTTTATTCGTCTTTAAATAAATTTACTGTAGTTCATTTAATCCATCCAATTCCAATTATTCCTCTGCTTACTCATTCTTTCACTAGTTGTACATTCAAATCCATTCATATGATTGATTGATCAAGTTCATTTATTTGTCTATATACCATTAATCAATTAATTAATGATTCACTACTTATTTGGATTAGTAATTTATATGGGTAAGTAATATTTGTTTGTTGGCTGTTCTTTTCACTCATCAATTGGTCCAATGATTTACTTATTGATGTATTCATAATTAACCAGTTCTTGGGTTTACACACTGATCACTATTTTATATATATGTATATTTATTTATTTAAAGATTTATTTTATTTTTATGCATACAAGAACTGGGGTCTAGGCCAGAGGGGTGGCAGGGAATAAGAGGCTTCACCAGAGACAGAGTGGGGAGCAGAACGGGGAGGCTGACTAAAGTGCACTGCTGGGCCCTCCCTGGTGGCGCAGTGGGTTAAGACACAGCACTGCAAGCTGGCCACAGTCGTTTCAGTGTGAGTTCGATCCCTGGCCCCTGAGGTGATCCACATGGCGTGGCAGACCTCTCTTGAACTGCTTGCTGCTTCCCTCAGCATTGTACTTCGTCGATCTGCCTGTTCTGCTCCCCACTCTGTCTCTGGTGAGGCCTCTCACCATCCCTACACCTCTAGCTTGTACCCTGGCTCTGTATGCACAAATAAACAAATCTTTAAAAAAATTTTTTTAAAAAAAAAATAAAGTACACTGCTGAGAGGAGCAGCAGGTGAGACAGGAGAGGTCTGTCGTGCCTCGTGGGTCAGCTCCCTGGCTGGGATCGAACTTGCGCTGCAGTGGCTGCGGACAGCTTCATAGTGCTGTGACTTTAGCCCTTTCACTGCCAGGGAGGGCCAATCACTATTATATAAATAGTGCCTTTCTCATCAAGTTCAAGCCCCAATCCTTCACCTGAAACTTCATGTGTGTCCACATGTACCTGTTCGTGTGGGGAGAGAATCCATTCCATTCATTATATTTCAGAGGATGAAGTTTCCTGTGGCTGCTCTCCTCCTTCTCCAACCTGGGTCTCTGAAGGGTGCCGATCCTTTACTATCGGTTTGTCATGGCCTGAGGCCATATAGGATGCAGTGTTCTTGCTGAAATGTTTCTTTGAAATGTGGGTCGCTGGTCTCGTTATATGCAGAGAGAGTCCAAAAGGAGATTGATCAGGTGATTGGCTCAAATCGCTCTCCAAACCTCAACGACCGAGCCAAAATGCCTTACACTGACGCAGTCATCCATGAGGTTCAGAGATTCGGAGACCTCCTTCCCATTGGTGTGCCCCATATAGTCACCCAGGACACTCACTTCCGAGGGTACATCATCCCCAAGGTGAGGCCAAGTTTGGGGTGAACCTCTCCTACCTGGGAATCATGGGTTCTCTTAATCTGCAAAGTGACCTCTTGTTGGATACTTTTTTCCTTTCTTTAAAGATTTATTTAGTAGAAGAGCAAGGGTGTAGGACAGAGGTGTGGGGGATGAGAGGATTCCCCAGAGCCAGAGTGGGGAGCAGAGCAGATGGGCCCACTGAAATCCACTGCTGAGGGGACAGTGGGGAAGCAGGAGAGGTCTGCTGCGCCCTGTGGGTCACTCCCTGCTAGCAGTGGCTGTGGACAGCTTCATAGCGCTGTCTTTAACTCCTGTGTCATCAGGGAGGACCTCGTTGGTTTTCTATAGTAGGCTTTGGTATTTTAATTGTAGATTGTGGGAGGAAATGGTCATATCTTTTGATCTTGCAATATCCCCTAGGGCACCGAAGTATTTCCCATCCTGAACTCTGCTCTTAATGACCCACGGTATTTTGAGAAACCAGAAGTCTTCAACCCTGACCACTTTCTGGATGCCAATGGGGAACTGAAGAAGACTGATGCTTTTATGCCCTTCTCTATAGGTGAGACGACACACCCAGCCTTCCCCTGCACTGGTGTGAGGGGCCACCCCCCTTTGGCAGTTGAGGAGGGGTCTGTGCTTCCTGAGCAGTTTCTGGGGGTGACGCTTGCACGTGGCACTGTGGCCCAAGTGACAGCGCCTGCCCAGGACACGGCCAGCCTCTGGTGGTGGTGGTGGTGGGGGGGCAGCGCTCCTCTTGCTCGCATGCAGTTGGAGGGCTGCAAGCAGCTTAGACTGCGGGGTGCAGAGCACCCTGAGAAGCTGCTCAGAGGGCGAGGTCACCTTAGAGTCATATTGCAGCAGGTGTTCAAAGGGGCTTGGGAGCACCGAGGAGGCTCCTGGTGGGTCATTAGGAAGCGCTTATGGGAGGAGCTGGCTGCTAAGCGAAGACACCCCCTCCCCTTTGCAATCGGTCAGCTGCTGGAAGGCCCATCCCGCAGCAGGGCAGGGCCAATGCCTGCAGGTGGACGGAGTGCAGCCCCTGGACCCCTAAGAGCACAGGGAGCCCAGGGTGGACAGGGAGGCGTGAGGGTGATGACTCGGCTGGGCAGGGCCTTGAAGCTGGGGCGGGGCGTGGGGTGGGGTGGATGTCTTTTCTGGCTTGGGCACTGGGGGTGTCGACATGCTCTGACCCTCCACTCATTCTCCATCTTGGCGCTTCCAGAGAAAACCCCAATGTCAGGTCTTTGTCCTCTGGGAAAGGGGCGCTCCAGCAGCAAGCCCCTAGCCCCGAGTCCCCTCTGTGACCCCGGGGGCCAGGCCTGTGCTGGTCCCAGGCATGGATCTCAGCTCCTCTGAAGTGAGCTGGGGAGCATGAGGTGAGTGGCGCAGGTAACTCCCCAAGTACTCAAGTCCTGCCTAAGGCGAGAGAAGCAGAGAAATAGGGACAGAGCGACGGGCAGCCAGATAAGGCTAGTGAGTGAGTGTGAGTGTCCGGAGAGGGCAACAGAGACCGGTGGGGGGAGATGAGGGCACAGAGGCAGGCAGCACGAAACAATCAGAGATGGAGAGAAAGAGAGTGACACATGGGGGGAAAACAGTGAAGGAGAAGAACCTGTTAAAGAAGATGCAAACTAGAGAGACAGAGAGAGGGAAAGATGGGAAGACGGGAGTGAACTAGGAGTGGGCAACGGGAAAAGGGACCCGAGGAGAGAGGAGCAGAGGCCCTGACAGGCTGGTGGGGGGTTGGGGGGGGGGGTGGGTGCCAAGTGTTCAGATAAGGGGGGGGGAGGGCTTTCGGCTTTCGGGCTTCTGGAAGGAGGCAGCTACAGAAGCTGCAGCCCGAGGCCGCCCTGAGCACTTCTAGCTCTCGTCTCCAGAGTCCGGGTGTGCACAGACACACCACACAGTCTCAGCCCGACAAGCTGAAAGGCCTAGGACGAACCTGGGGTCTTGCCCTTGACGTGACCTTCCCAAGGTCATCAGTTTGCAGACTAAGGGCCACTGAAGTAAAGGCAGAGAGGCCTGTTTGTCCTCCTGAGTCAGAGTGTTATAACCTACGGGGGGTGGGGTGGGGGGCGGTCCTTGACCACCAGGAATCTGATGGAAACCACAGAGCCATCAAGTTGGATGTCCAGTTCATACTCTCTAGAACTCTTGAGGGGCATGGCCTTCAGGCTGAAACCAAGAGACGGGCAGCCCCCCGCCCCCCACTCGGTGCACCCCCCACCACTAACACAAAGCAAAGGCTATGTCTGCAGGACCTTGGCTGTAAGCCAGGTGTGATTCTAACGCTCAAATGTTAAACGCCCCAGCAGCCTACGAGAGAGGCACAGCACTCCCTTACCAGGGCAGGACATTCAAAATGTCAGGTCAGAAATGAGCACAGCCCTGCACTGCTGCTGCTCCCTGGCACGCAGGGGCTTCTACGCTGAGGGGCCCTGACCTTGGGGGAGCCCTGAGGCCACAAACTCCTGGAAACGCAGCGTGGTGCGCCTGCCTGGCTTCCGAGGGGTTGGGAAACCCACTAAAGCCTTCCAGGAACTGCGGCTTCAAGTCAGCCCTCGGCCAACATGTGCAATGTCTGGGGTCTGGTTACAGGCTGAGACCGGGCACAGGACGGGCAGCTGCCTCCTGCCCACGCCGGATTCTTTGTGCCCACAGGGAAGCGTGTTTGTCTTGGCGAAGGCATCGCTCGCACAGAACTGTTCCTCTTCTTCACCACCATCCTGCAGAACTTCACTGTGGACGGCCCCGTGGCCCCCGAGGACATCGACCTCACCCCCAAAGAGTGTGGTGTGGGCAAACTGCCCCCAATTTACCAGATCCGCTTCATGCCCCGCTAAGAGAGCTGGGGTGGGGGCCTGGATTCTGGTTCATTACGTGTCCTCACCTCTGCAGCAAAGGCTTCCGACTCGCCCATGTCTCCCTTCCTGAGAGATCTGCAGGAAGCCACTGTCCTCCCCTCCTCGGTCACCTCCTCCATGGGGCAGTCCTCTCTGTAGTCTCCCCTCTTTCATCATGCTGCAGCTCCCTAGCGGCTCAAGAAAAGTTGCTGCTAGAATTCCAGGAGCGGCGTCTGTGCAGACTGAGGGCTAAGGGAACCGGGCTGTGGCTCTCTGCGGTTGCTTCTCCCTTCCAGGCTTCAGCTCATCTTGGGCAGCCTCGCTTTCCTCAGAGCCGTCACAGCTTCCTGTATCAACTCCGGAACTGTCCGGAGATGATCCCTCTTGAATCATCCTCGGAACAGCATGTGTGCGTGTGTGCATGCGTGCATGTGTGTAGAGTGCATGCACGTGTGTGATGAGCAGGCCCATTCTGCAGGTGCATGAACAGAGGCTGGGACAGGGCATCAGTTGTTGGCGGTCACATGGCTTACGTGGGAGCAGCGAGAGGCACAGTCTGTCTGCCTGGCTCCAGAACTCAGTCTCTCCACTGCTCCTCCCTGACTTCCACGCCCTTCAGAAATTTTTGAATGAAGGTGGAATTCACACAAATACCCTAAAACGTTAGCGCCTTATGGAGAGATGAGTGACATTTATTTCTTGCTGTTGTGCCATCACCACTATCTCGGTCCAAATACTTTCCTGTCCCCAGAAGCAAGCTCCCCCCACTTCGAGTCACTCCCCAGTCCCTCTTCCTCTCCCCCCTGGAAAATACCACCTGTTCTGTCTCCATGAATGGCCCCTTTGGGATATTTCCTAGAAATAAAATCTCATACCACAGGTGGTCTTTTGTGTCTGGCTCTTTTGTTACAACAATTACCCCGAGAAATCAGGCGGCACTCAGAGAGGTGGGGAGAGAGATGTACTTTCATGCTGGCGGGCTCAGTGGGACCAGTCCCAAAAGGCTGAGCCCCGAGTTACAGGAGTGGTGAGGTTTTATGCAGGTTGCATGAGGAAGCTTGTCATCCCATCCGTCACAGCATAAACACTCTTTATTGCTTGGGAGGGGGCAGGGTAGCCACAGCCCCTGTGGTGGACAAGCGGCACTCCGCAGCAGCTTCCTGGTCCAGCAAGCAGCAGCATCCAACATGACTCCCCCAAGCAGCAGGCCTGGGAAAGCAGCAGAACCTAAGCAGCAGCCTTGGGAAACTTCCTGCTTCACTGTCAGTAGCCAAAGTGTTGAAAAATTCTTTCAAGGTTCATCTGGGCTCTAGGGCACATTCACGCACTGGTTGTCCTCACAAGCTCATTCTTGCTTCCTGTACCTTCTTTAGCTCCCAGGAAGCATCTCCTCGCCCAGGGCCTTCCAAGATGTGTGAATCACAACTGGTGCCTCGGGGCCCCAGCGATTTCCCTTCTAATTCCTCGAGACTCAACAACCCGCTCAGGCCTGACAGTCCGGGATGGGGGTGGGCGGGTCTCACCGGAGACCCAGGCATGTCAGGCCACTTTGCGGCGGCTGTAACAGGCGAGACCTGCCCTCCCTCTCACAGCAGCTGCACGCAGCCACCGCTGTCTCGCGAGTCCCCTCACATGGCTCATGACTGTGATCAACATATTTGCTGAGGAGCAATGAAGGGATGAGTGAGTGATTCAGTCAGCCCCCCGGGGAGCTAAGTGTTTTGTCCCAGTTTCTGTGACCTGCCGCAAGAAAGAAAGGCGGGAGGCAGAAAGGCTGAGCCCTCGGACAGCAGCTGAGACAGAGTTCGAGTAGGGTCCGCAGCTACTGCCACCGCATGGGGGGGAATCTTATATAGATTTTAAACTCAAATTCCAAAGGGGTGACCCATGTCCCTTGATGTAAGGCCCAGTTCGTTATCACCTCCATCTAGTCCCATCCCGCATCTTGCAAGGCCCCATTCATTGGACGCAAGGCCCAGTTTGTTACCGCCTTAGCACCCGTGGATGCAAGGCCTGACTTATCACTGCCCTTATCCAGTCCCTCAATAAATCTCCGCACTTGGTCACTCTCCACAATAAGCAGGCATGTCTCCTCCTCTCTTTTCTGCTGCCCAGAAAGCTCCCTGACCCAGTGGGCACATGATGCCTCAGCTCTGCCCGCCAGTGACTTGGCTTCTCATTCAGCGATGCCACCTTGTGATACCAAGACCGAGAGCCAGCCTCATTTGCAAACTTTGGGTCCTGCGCCTCTGTCCCACCAGTTGGCAGTATTTCCCTTGGGGACGTGCTCTACATCTTCGGAGAGGGGGACACTCTTTTCGGCCCCTTCATGGAGATGAGGAAGGAAGAGGCTCTTCGGCCTCCAACTTCTGACCTGGGTCTCTGGAATTGGGGCTAGCCCGCCCCAGAACTTTAGAAACTGCTTTGCTCCTGGCGAGGCTGACCCTGGCCGGAGTCAGGAAGGCCAGCCCTGAGTGTGGGGGCGCTTCCAGCGTCCCTGCCTCTGAGGTCCGAGAAGCGGGAGTGCAGCCAGGGGTTTGCCCAGGGATAAATGGCGACTCTGGAGCCAGTCTCGAGAGAACCCCAGCCAGTGAACTGAGAGCTGCCAGCACTACCTTTTGTGCTATGGAGTCACACTACAGGGCTGCCACCACCTCCCATCCCGAGGGCAGTTCCCAGGCCCCCTGGGTTTGGGGTGTGGGCACAAAGAACAGAGAAAGCATCCAATGTCTTATCTTAAATCAACGGACGCAACAAAATGTGTATATAGAGTCAAGATGAGGACTTGAGAGCAGGGGAACATTCCAGACAGCTCTGGGAAGATGCTCGAATGTTGAGATTTTTCAATGAGGATTTTATACAGTTTGGAAGGAAGCATTTCGAAAATTTCACAAAGAACACCTGGCCAGGCACCCAACCAATGCACCCGTCATATATTATCTGCTTGTGGAGGGAAACAAAGGGCTTTTAAAATTTGCCTATGAGTTTAGAGCCTTATCCTCTGGGGACTGGGAGTTTTAGGCATGCCAGAAGCCTTGAAATCTGTTCCTCAAAGTTACTCATTTATCTGGAGGCAGCTTTGCTGTCATCATGCTTGTGCAACTTCTTCGACAGACCAATCCTGCTGTGTCTTAACAGCTGACAGCAGGGAAAAGCTGGCCACGTCATTGTTGGCTTCGGTTGACAGCCTTTTGTGAGAAGCAGCGAGGGGTAGGGGTTGTCATGGATGCCTGGTTCTTGGGGACAGTGGTACCTGAGCAACATGGTGGGCGATGCAATTCAGGGAGGGGTCAGTTGCCACTCAGCCACAGGACATCATACGATATTATCACATATGTTATATATAATGGCAATAGGATATATAGTATATATACCACACACATATATGCAGCGTATAACACCATATAATCCCACACATCATATCATCATATCACATATTATAGCCATTATATTATAATAATAATATATGTTATATTAATATAGGCATAATTATATATATATGTATATATATATATATATATGCTTGTAGTTGTCTTAGAAAAAAGTTGTCACAGATATCATCAGAAATCTAGATTCCCATTGTAGAAAATGTCCCATGGAGCAAAGTTCAAGCTGGCGGGGATCTAGGCCTAATCGGATCAGAGTGACCCTACCACCTCCTGAGACCTGGCTGTTCATCAAGTTATGGAAAGTTAAGTCCTGAAGCCAAAGGGCCACTGAGAATAAAGTTGATGGCTGTGCTAGGCGGTGAAAGGTTCCTCCAGCAGCCACTGTCCCTCCTTGTAGAGCCGTCCTGCAGCTAGACTATACTTGCCCACCCTGCTGACATCCAACTGGACCCAAGACGTGCTCACCAGCGGAAGGCCAGCAGACTGTGGGGGTCGCGGGAACAAGAGCATGAAGAGCTCCTGCCTGGGATGCCACCAGCCCTCTTTTCCTCTGCCTCCACACCAGGCAGATTCCTGAGGCCCCAAATGAAGTCTTGCAGCAGAATGTTAAGCTGTCTCTTCATGAAAATGAATGTGAGAAATATACCTTTGCTGCTGTAAGAACTGTTTGGAATTGTCTGACACTGTGGCATAGTGTAGCATGAGCTGACGGATCCCATAAGGCCACTGAAGACCCAGTGGCAAGACTTGGGCAAGACTTGATCCTTACTTGCGCTCAGTTTCTCTTAACTCACTCTCACTGGTGTTGTCTGTATTTTCATTTCTCTATGAATGGCAATCTCTGTGGCTCTGTCTCTAAACCTCTGAGACCTCTTGTAGTTCTGAGTGTTTCTCTCTGGCTCTCTTTTAATAACAAACAACAATACCAACATAATAATAAAAGCAGCTGTTTCAATAATAAGGACATATTAACTTACGTTCAATTGACCAGAACAAGGTGTGTGGTCACCTTGCTTATTTATTTACTGATGTTTACAGAACTGGGGTACAGAGTGAGGAGCAGAACAGGCAGATGTACTGAAACACACTGCTGAGGGGAGCAGCAGGAGGGTCTGGAGAGGTCTGCAGTGCCATGTGGGTCAACTCCCTACTGGGGCTCGAACTTGAGCTGCAGTGGCTTCTGAGAACTTCATAGTGCAGAGCTTAAATAAATCTGTTGCGCCACCAGGGAGAGCCCATGCCTACTTTTAAATGAGCAGAGAAATGCAATTTCTTTCAGGCTTTGGGGAGGGGAGTTGGGAGGACTGGCTGCATATGGGAACATGGGAAGATGCGTGACCTCCACGCTGAGGTCATGAGAGGCAGTAAGGTTTCCACTCAGCGTGCTCTCAGGAAGCTTTGCTCTACCCCACTCATGGGCTCCCTGGACAGCGCTGATTATTCCTTCAGCTTTTTCAAGTCTTCAAGCAACCTTCTCATCATCAACCTTGATTACACCACAGACACTGCATTATTATAAGTTTAGTTCAGCAAACACAGGTCAGTGTCAGAACCTGCTCACCTCTCTTTTCTCAACCTTTCTGTTAGCACAGGTCATCAAGGTTACTCTCCTTTCTGCTTCTTCTTTTTTTTAAAGATTTATTTATTTATTCATACAGAACTGGGATACAGGCCAGAGGTGCAGGGGCGGTGAGAGGCTTCACCAGAGACAGAGTAGGGAGCAGAACAGGCAGACTGACAAGAACACTGCTGAGGGGAGCAGTGGGCGGGTCAGGAGAGGTCTGCTGTGCCATGTGGGTCACCTCTGGGGCAGGGAATTGAACTTGCCCCAAAGCGGCTGCAGCCAGCTTGCAGTGCTGCATCCTAACCCATTGTGCCACCAGGGAAGGCCCCTTTCTTCTTTTTTTAAAGTTTTTTAATTTTGATTTTTACTTTACTATAATTACTTTTTTTTTTTTTTTCCTGATCCCTTATTTGGGTCAGCTACATTCCTCTGAAAAGTAAAACCATCCTGTATTTCTGTTTTTCTTTCTGGCTTATTTCACTGAGAAATGATCCCGTCCAGCTCCATTGCATTGCTGTGAATGGCTTGAGTTTATCTTACTTTCCTTTCTTGTTCACTCCTATGCCACAGGTGGGAAAGGTTCTTCAGAAATAGAATGTTTTTTGTATGGCTAAAGTCACCATATCAGGGCCTCTGACAAGCAAGGAAGAAAATGTTTTACTACATGTAAAACTGTTGCAAGCGGACACAGGTGTTAAAACAGAATTGAGGGTCTCCCTGGTGGCACAAGGGGTTAAAGCGGAGCACTGTAATTCAATCTGCAACCACTGCAAGCAAAGCCTATCTGGCCAGGGAGCTGACCCACAGGGCATAGCAGACCTCTCCGACCTGCCCGCTGCTCCCCTCAGCAGTGTACTTCGTAGATTCGCCTGTTCAGCTCCCTACTCTGTCTCTGGTGAATCCTCTCACCCCACCCCCCCA